CTCCTGTCAAGCATGACTGAATACTTACTGGAGCTATCTTTTTAAAAAGTTTAAATTTAATTAAGTAAATTTAAAATTACGCCATTTGCCAAAATATTTAAAAATGCAACTTAATGAGGAAAATTTCCCCAAAGTATTCTCGGTCCTTTCGGAAAGAATGGCTTCAAGAAAAAAATCTTAAAGGTGCTTACCTTTAAGATTTTTATCTTGAAGCCATTCTTTCCGAAAGGACCGAGAATACTTTGTCCATTTTCCCATTTTAATACCAATAATAAATAAATTATAAAACTTATATAAATTATACTTTGTTTAAAAACAAAACAAGTAGACAGCACAACAAGTATTACCGTTCTGTGCGCAAAACAAAGGATGAAATAATTTGTGTAACCAGCCCAAAATGTAGCCAAGTCAAATTTTTGTAGCCCAAAAAGTAGCCAGTGCGCCAAATGCTTTTTTTAACGCCAAACTGAAAAATAAGTAGCCCAATTTGGCGCAAAGTAGCCAAATCTGACAACGCTGGTGTACAGTTCTTGTTTATAAAAACTAAAACAAAGGATCAGGAGAGAGGCAATAATAGTTTAAGCAAAGTTTATAAAGCTTTTGTATAGGAAACAAACTATATCTGAAAGCTCTGATAAACATCTTAATGTGAACATTACATTGCTAACATAAACCTTGCATGTCTAATACTAGTGAATTAAGAACAAATATTGAATTCATTTAATATTTGCAAACTCAGTTCAAGAACATCTGTATCAATAATTTAAATTATATAACTCCTAATCTGAATGGTTAGCTACTTCCTGATTTTCAAGTTGAGGTGTATTAAAGTAATTTTATTCATATTTTATTCCGATGTACTGTACCTATGTAACACGCCAACAATTACCGGATTATATTGGGCTATAATATCATGATATAATAGCCCGATATAATCCTGTAATTGTTGACTTTTTAAGTCATTTTATTGATCAGTAAGAAGAAGAATCTCTTAAATACATAAAATAAAGTTATAAAGGAGCTCAAAATATATAAATTAAAACTTATATTTGCAAATATGGATAGTTTTGATGATACTGCAACTTTCTCTCCCTCAGAAAACTAGAAAAATTTAGAAAGAATATATAATAAACAAAAATCTAATAACCAAAATATTTGGCAAAAAGAGTAATTTAATAACTAACAAATGTTTTTGACCATTTTGAATGGTCATCATCAGGTTTATGTTATATTTGAAAGTAAAATATAATCAGCAATCTACAAATTTTAAGAGTTGGAATACAATTTAAATTGACATAAATCAAAAATATAAGATGACATAAGTATCAGTATTTTTAGCAGATTTAATAAAAAAAAAAAAAGTTCCATGCATCCAATATAGTTTCTATTGTCCTTGTAATTTATGACAG